ATAAAATAAAATTATAAAATAAAATTAATCGAAAATAAATTTAATTATATACTTGATAATTGCATTTTCTAAAGAAAGAGCTTTTCCATCACAATTTATATTTGAATGACTTGCTTCAGCTGCATTAGCATTATCTGGTGCTTTGAACCAAATATCAGTATTCATAAATGAAAATAAATGATTTAATGAAGCTTTAACCCATAAAATATTATAATAAACAATATTATTAATAAACAATATTATTAATTACACTTTATTATAAATTTAAAAAAAATAATAAAATAAATTTACCGATTGAGTACTAATAACTTCATAATCATCAAAAGGTGAATATGAAACTGGGTTATCCAAGTCAATACTCTTTCCTCGCTTTCATAATCACTTTCATAATTACTTTCATAATTATCTTCATAGTTGCTTTCATAATTACTTTCATAATTACTTTCATAATTATTCTCATAATTAGTTTCAGAAGTATCAGTAAAATTATCTTCACTTATGTTACTTGTATCTTCCATTATTATACGAATTAAAGGACGAATGAAAGATAATATTAAATTTACTTAAAAAAATTAATTAAATAGTAATTTAATTGATCGTTTAATTGATTAACTTTACATATTGATTGTTTGATTGATAGATAGATTATATAAAATTCTACAGTAATATAAATTCTATTTTAATAATCTAAAACTAACAAGCACTGCCCAAATTTTACTATTAAAGATTACAAACTAATATTTAAAGTAGATACTACTCATTATAATAATTTTCGTTAAATTCAAAGGCTACAATTTTTAAACTGCAAGCGAATGTAGTGAATATTAATAGAACATATATCTAACGATACTGAATTGAAATTTAAAAGGATAATATAGTCTTTTAATGTAACTGGATTAACAATAACCAGATCGGGTACCCGAAATCAACTCATGTTACTTGAAAAGAATTATCATATTATCGTACTCAATATATTGATCGGACTTTACTGAGCAACTATAGAATCGAAATATCTTGTTAAAAGAAGATTACTCAGCATATATTACCGATCTAGGTTTATCAAAACCACTTGATGAGAAAGAACACGAAGAACATATTCATGGTGTCTTGCCTTACATCGCTCCTGAACTTTTTCAAAGAGAAGCGTACACTCAAGCAACTGATATTTATTCATTTGGAATCATCATGGTAGAAATGACAACTGGACTGAGACCTTTTGATAGTCATAAATTTGATGAAGTTCTTGTGTTTATGATTTGTCACGGATTGCGACCAAAATTTGGAATTGGAACTCCTAATTGTTATATTGAATTAGCAAATCAATGTATGGATTTAAATCCAGAAAAACGGCCAACTACTAATAAAATTATTACTAAATTAAATGAATGGTTGAAAATTTTGAATGAAAATTCCGAAAATTCTATTAAAAAGCAGTTTTTAGAAAGTGATAATATTAACAAAAATTTTACAATAATTAAAGAAGAGCTAAAAAAATATATACACTAGTAAACCATTTAACACTTTGGAAATTAGTGAAAGATTATCAAAACTAAATCTTAGTAAATCTGCTGGCATAGAATTTCCAAATGATATTTAACGTTTATTTTGCTTTTTTTTATTCTTTTGTTAAATCTTTTTTTTATGTATAGAATAAATTATATCATTTAAATTATTTAAAAATATACTGTATTATATAATACAAAAATTTTCTAAACAAGTTAAGTTCTATAATTTGGTAACGTTCATCGTCGAACTAACTAAACTAGTTTATATGGTAAACTAATAGAAGTAGCTCATGAATTTTTATAATTTTTATGTTTTTAAAAAGTTTTTTTTTATTTTTTATGAATAGTGTATAAAATCAAGGAGGGCTTTTTGAGTAAATCAAATATTGTAAAACCGGGTTTAGTAAATAAAATAATGTTGTTTCAAAGTTAACAAATAATTGACGCAATTTTACCATGTTGAATTATAAATCGGAAAATAAAAAAAGTTTCTCTGATTTTAACTTTGATGGTACTTAAAGTGGGCATAATTTTATTAAAATAAATACCTGATGTTTTAAAAACTCATATACCTGCCCAAATTTGGTCAGCATTAAGCTTAGTGCAGGTAAGACATCATTTTAATTTTTGATTTGATTGGCTAGATAGTTCGTAATAATTATATCTTCATTTCTCTGCAAGCGAACTCTGTGTAGTTAAAGTCGTGTCGTGATCAAGTTAAAAAGCTTCAAAGTTTTGCCATGCTTAGAAGTTTATCACAAAAAAAAAAAAATTCCCACGATCAAAAGCTTTGCCGTTCACTTCAAAAAAAATTTTTTTTTAGAAATTCATTTTTGATCAAAAAGTTAAATGTTGTTGAAAAGCGCACGTTACAACGGACAACAATTAGGATCTACAAATTTGATCAAAGATACATCATTTTGCAAACAACGATAAATGGAAAACTGTTAAAGCTATATTGCAATCACATCAAAACCCCTAGTTTAATAAAAATAATAATGAGTGATTCTGTCAACTAAGAATTTAAAGAAAGCGAAGACTTAATAAAGTTCGACTTCATTTTATAATATTTTAAAGAAATAAAGACTAATTATACTATGATCCGTCCAAGACAATTTTAAAGAAAGAGAAAACAAACCAATGTTATAACACTGTCCCATGACAATTTCAAAAAACAAAGACTTAATGCTGTAATTTTATCTAATGACAATTTTAAACCATCCAATCTAATAAAAATGAAATAACTAAACCGGGATTTAAGATTTTTGCGATGATGAGATTCTAAATTGTCTATTCTGTATTTTAGATCGGTTGAATTTATATTTATTAAAATCGGTAAAATTCTTAAAATCTAAAGGATCACATTGCAATAATCTGATATTTCCTATTCGTAAAATTCACTATTTATAAAAAAAGATATTAATTATATAATGCTATATATAATATACAGTAGAATAACTTTTTTAAAAAACAATCCAAATTAATAACGTCAAAATTACTACTAAATGAAATAAACCTGCTTTTATAAATGGATTCAATATTTTTTTGCATATCTTCATTTTTTTTAGATTTTTTTTATCAGATTCAGATAATTCTGTTAAGGATATTTTCTTTTGCTGTAGGTTGTTTTTCTGGTTCTATGTTCCAACATTTCTTCATTAAAACCCGCATAGCATCTTCTGTATTTTCATAAATATAAGCCATCACATATTTGTAAATAAAATTGCCATTCAGGTTTTTGCTCAAAAGGTTATATAAAATTTCCCCACATGATCATGCCAAAAGAGTAAATATCAGATGCTATAATATATGGTTGTTTGATCAAACTTCAGGGCAATGTATGGTAGAATTCCAAAACTCCATTAGATTCTGATCTAATACAATATTAACGTTAACAGTTTATAAAAATCGACGTAGAGAAAAAGATATTATTGTAGTGCCGGGTACACCTATGATAGACGTGAAACACATATATCTACGGTTCATACAACTGGAATACCTCCAAACTATGTGGACCTGATTTAGGTAAATTAGGTTCAATTCAATTACTGGATCAAAATCCTGGTTTAAAATATAGTAACTAATATTAAAATTTCGATATAGTGAAATATAAAAAATTTGATTTGATTGTAGGTTTACTGATTAGTTTTGCTAAAATTTATCAGATGACTAAAAATAAATAACTTCAAAAAAATTTTTAATTAAAAATATAATTTATAATTTTTTTGGTAAACTTTAATTATTAGTTTAAAATTCAGTAAGGTAACAATATTCAGATGTTTTTATTGGTTAAAAAAGCTATGCGCAATAGTTACCTTCTGACATGTAAACTCCAAATTCAACAAAATTGATATAAAATTCTATCTTGATTGTAGGCAAAATCAAATTTAATAAAAAAAAAAAGGAATTTGCTATATTGAATTTTTTATTTTCTGTTTGATGAAATTATAACAGCTGATAGTTTATAAAGAAAAAAAAAAAGAACTCAAAAAAAAATAAAAAGTAGCAAATATTACATAGATATAAAACGGAGGAGCAACAGGGCAGCACGACAGCAACCTTTCAAGAGGCAAATCAATTTCGCACCCTGCCCTCCTCAGTAGATTCCTGCCATTTTTGGCAGCTTAAACGTCTCTTTACGACCGGCCTGCGTTATGCAGGCGGGAAACCACCGGCCAATATCATGTGACCAAAAGCTTCTGGCTAACAGCCGGCCAGCATTTATGCGGGCGGGAAACACCGGCTAATGCCAATTATACATCAAACGCACTGATGTATGCTATATATCTCTTTAATAAAGTTTGAATATCCAGCACTATTAGCGCCCAACAATTATATCATATGTGTGCAGTTCTTACGAGAATGTCGCAATAGTTACAGATCTGACAATCACTCGGATGTAGTTATATATATATATAATCTAATATATATATATATAATCTAATTCAGAGCTTGTACATTTTAAAAATTTTGATTGGTTGTTTGTAGAATTATTAAAAAGTTTGCGTTTCTGGTATGGCATTCACCACTACGTAATAAAATCGGGTAGATTGAAGAAGAGTTAACCCAGTGATCATCACAACATAACATGACATGTGTTCGGCCTAAGTTAGGGTTAGGTTGGGTTAGTTTAGGGCATATTTAGGTCAGTTTGTTTTAATTCTGGTAAACAAATGACGTCATATATGTTTATCATGTGATCGTTGATCACTGGGTTAACTGTTCTTCAAGTGTCCCTAAAATCGTATAGTACTGTACGCGGCACATCACTAGTATTCCCAAAGGCCAAAAGGCCTTTATTTTATAATAACCATTCTATCTATAAAAACTACCTCTACTGTCAGTATTGGCTATAATCCCAAAAATACTCTTATTGACAGAAACGTCAATAATCCCAAAAATGCTCTTACTGACAGAAACACCATTTCCCCAAATATCACCATTTTCGCTATTGTCGATTCTGCTTTTTCCTCCAGAAACGATATTTCTGTGATCCGGATTTGGAACTAACCGGGTCACGAGGCACGTGCCTGCTTCAGGCGGTTTCATACCGTAATTACATCCCAATATTAATATACCTTAGACCTAATAAGTATTAACCAAATACTTGGCAAATATTTAATAAGTACTTGCTAAGTACTTTGACAAACATTGTGATGATATTGCTTTTACAAATCTATTTTATTTAGAATTTCAAATTAAGATCCAACTAGACGTTGCTTAAACTTTTAAGTTGGTGAATACGTTTAAATTTAAAATTCGTTTAAGCAAAAAAAAACAATGTTTGAATTTTAAGGAGCAGATACCTAATGCTATATTAAATTATGTTAATTTTTGCAATTATAATAAATCCGTAACAATAATAGTGGTTATAACAAAAAAGAAATTAATAAAAATAATAGGCACTTAGAAAAAAGAAGAAAAAAAGAAATTACATAATATCTATTATGAATATGTAGTTTTTTTTTAGACACCCTATTTTAAATCATAGACCTGGTCGACAGCCAATATGT